CTTTCCCTTCACTGAAATGCCGCACGAGACATGTTCTTTTATCATCATCTTCACTCGCTTCGCAGTGATCGTGGCCAGGTCCTCATGTCACTGAGTACTCTACTGTGCTACTTATTCGTGAGAGCTGCACAGTTTTTGTAGTCAGGGAACTCTTGGACCCTGACTAACTCTAAACTAATCAGAGATATATGTGTTAACATGACAGATGTCACTTACATTACTAGGAGTCCAGGTCAGGTGCTGCTGGGTCCTTTGTATCCTCACCAAACAATTGTTTCAAAATGCAGTGATGCTCATTTTATTCAACCATATGTAATCTGATGGCCTATTATTTGCTGGACTTTGCTAGAGGTTAGGCATGCTGGCACGAATACAAAATGGTCTGGCTGTCTAGGCTCTGAGCAGATAAAATAAGGTCTCAACTGTATCTTAGGTCTCTGTCTCCATATCTCTGAGAAGTAATAGAATTCGTACTGATTACTGAAGAGCTGATTAGCTTGTCTGACTTATGAGGGCCATGGTATGTTGTACCCATTTCACAGCTAGGGAAGCTGAGGGGCAGCAGCGTGAAGTGACTTGTCCCGCGTAGGTCTGCCAAGCACATGTGCTCCTACTTCTCCTGTGGTTTCATCTTTCCCTTCTCGCAGGAACCCCATTTAGTGTCTACTAAGCTAGAACCTCAGTTTTGGAAGGGGGGCAGTGTCGAGAGCAGCAGCCTGCTCTGGGGGTCCACACGGGTCCTCTGCTGGTACTTTTCTCAGTCTTTGGTTTGACTTTAAAGTTCACAGTCTCTCAGATGGCTAGGTTGTCTCTCTGACTTCGTATCTCCAATTGCAGCTGAACAACCCCGAGATGGTGGAGGGTCTCGTCCTCATTAACGTGAACCCTTGTGCGGAAGGCTGGATGGACTGGGCCGCCTCCAAGGTGAGGCTGGGGGCCTGGGTCGGGCCAGGGGTGTCCCAGTCTGCAGAGGGGCAGGTGTGCCTGACTCTGCCTGGAGCACAAAATGCAAGAGACCTCTCCTAGCCCCACCCCTTCACCACCCCCAGCAAAGAAGGCAGCTTTCCTCCGCTTGACTTTGAATAGTGAACATGACCTCAGCCATGTGCCATTCAGATTTCAACAGGACACTGCTGTCCAAGCCAGCAGTACCAGTGGGACATGGGTCCCGAGCCAGCTTTGATAAGGACAGCCTGGGTTAAGAAGTGTTCACTGGGGACTTAGCATATGTTGGGCTTAGATCAAGATGCTGAGCATAAAAAGATGAACAAGACAAATGCCTGTCACCCCAGTCACCTACATATTATTATTATTTTCTTTTTTTTTTTTTTTGCGGTACGCGGGCCTCTAGCTGCCGTGACCTGTCCCGTTGCGGAGCACAGGCTCCGGACACACAGGCTCAGCGGCCATGGCTCACGGGCCAAGCCGCTCCGCGGCATGTGGGATCTTCCCGGACCGGGGCACAAACCCGTGTCCCCTGCATCGGCAGGCGGACTCTCAACCACTGCGCCACCAGGGAAGCCCACCTACATATTATTAATGAAAAAGAAAAAACGTATCTGGTACTGATTCTATGCCATTTAACTTTACGATAACAATAATTAGCTAACAAGTGTTGAATGTTTATTAAGTTCTCTTTCTACTCTCCGTGGCTATACCTTCATGACCTCACTCAATCCTCAGTCACTCCAGGAGTGGGGATTGTTAAAACCATTTTACAGAGGAGGAAACTGAGGGTCGCAGGGGTTAGGAAGCTGTCTAGGGTCGCACAGAGCCAGGCAGTGGGAGAACTGGGGCCAAACAAGATCCCTTGGACTCTGTGGTGCTTGGAATCACCTCTGAGCTGGGCTCACCGCCGGCCCCGTCTCTCCATCAGCAGGTGTCAAATGCCCGCCGAGACCCAAGCACCACAGGTCTGGGAATGCAGAGCTAGCAGGACACATCCCTGGCTGGGGAAAGGGCCCGAGCTGTCTCAGGAAGCTGTGCTCTGGCTGGGTTCCTTGTTTATCTTTTAAAAAGATGATTGTTTTTTTTCATAAAGGCCCCAGTATTTGCCAAGGAGAGGGGGAAACCATTCCAACTCTAACAGGACAGACTTTCAAGCCGGGGTGATCCTGGCTTCTCATTTTGAAAGTGTGTTTTTGCCAAGTTTGGGACGGCTGTTGGGGACAGGGGGTTTGAAGGGGGTCTCCCTCCCCCTGCTTCCCACCCCATCCTGGCCACTGTGATATTCCATTTCTTCCTGGAACATTCCGCCAGGATGAGGGAGCCCTTTCCTCCCACCGGCGTGATATTCAGAAGCGGAACACACTCCCTGTTTTTTATTTTGTTTTCCAGCAAAGGCAATGGCACTGCAGTCGGCCAGTTTGGCTTCTTGGTAGCTGTTCTGAGCCAGACATGGGGGCTGGGACGTTGACCACTGGCTAAAGTGGAGCCCGAGGGCTGTTTGGGGGGTTTTAGTATTTGCACCATATCCTTCCTTTCCAGCCCAAGCCCTGGAAGAGGAAGACCTCTCTTGGGGGTCTAGTGTGTGTCAGGCACTGGGGTCTGATCCTGTGACATGTGTAGTTGCCGTGTGTAACCCTCACCTTGGCCTTGTGACTCTGAAGCTCCTGGCATCCTGGTTACAGATGAGAGGTCTGAGGTCCAGTGGCTCTGCTACCCTCCCAGGGCCGCACAGCTAGGAGGTGGCAGATGGGTCAGCCTAGGTCCCCCAGGTCTAGAGCTTCTCTCCCCTATGGGTTCCTGCCTGACACTGAAGTTGGCCAACACACATTTATGGAGCTTCTGCTGTATGCCTAGCATTTACAGAGCTCTCACTGTGTACCTAGCATTTATGGAGCTTCTGCTGCACACCTAGCACTTATGGAGCTCCTGCTGTATACCCAGCATTGTTGGTGGGAGCAGGTAGAGAAGAGAAGGTCAGTATATTCAGAGAGAGGAAACTGGCTTAAGAGGGAAAATCTAGAGGATGATATAGTTTGAGGTAAGCAGATCCTGGTGTGTAGACTGGGAGCTCAGTGTGTGTTTAGAAGTCATGGACAGGCCCCCTTTACCGAGGACTTGGTGAACTGAGGCCTGACAAAAGCTGGGAGTACGTGGGGTCTTTGTTCAGATGCATTTTCTCCGCATCTCCTGTGCCCCGGGCTCTGAGAGTAAGGAATCGATGACCCTGCCTTCCGGGGCCCCAGGTTTAGTAAGTAACTGGGGACAGATAACCGCCTTCCCATCAAAGGGGCGTCCTCAGACCTGAGTGCCAGGGAGCCCACACTGCTGCTCCGCCCCCAGGGCAGTGGGATTGGCCTGACCTCGTCCGGCTACTATGAACGCCGGCTTTCTAATCCCCGTTTCTGTCCTCCCAGATCTCCGGATGGACCCAAGCCCTTCCAGACATGGTGATGTCTCACCTCTTCGGGAAGGTGAGCAGCGTGGCCTGGCGTTGTGTTGTTCAGTCGTGTGCTGCCAGGCATGTAGAGTGCAGAGACGGCCCAGGCACAGCAAGGGGCCGCTCTGTCTGACCCTCCTGAAATAGCCCATCGTTACTCATTCACAATCGTCACGCCGTTCTTTCTCTCTTGCTCTCCCTTTAACAGAAGTCTTTTTTTAACGGCTTTGTTAAAGTACAGTACACTGCACATATTGAAATTTGACAAATTTGACAAATCTTGACATTCTAAAAACCATCACTGAAGCCATCACAGATGACTAAGGAAATACCGTAACCCCCAGAACTTGCCCTGTGATGCTTGGTAATCCTTCCCTCCTCCTCAGGTAACCTCTGACCTGCTTTGGGTCGCTGTAGACTCATTTGCATTTCCTAGATTTTTATGTAAACAGTATCAGTACGTGCTCTTTTATTTTTAAATCTGGCTTCTTTCACTCAGCGTTAAAGTATCTTGCGATCCATCCGTGTCATTGGGCGAATCAAGAGTTCGTCCCTTTTTAGTGCTGAGTGGTGTTCTGTGGTACGGGGGTACCAGAGGTTGCTTCTCCATTCACCTGTTCATGGACATTTGGGATCTTTCCAGTTCTGGGCTATAACAAAGCCTACAGCAAACACATCCGTGGCATTTGCTGTGCGTCAGCCTTGGTCCTAAGGACTCTATGACCCGTATGAGAAGGACCTTTTATTCCTAGTTATGGATCTATTTTTTTTTCCCCAGTTGTACATGAGGAAGCTGAGACCAGAGAGGTTGAGTGAGCTGTGTGAGGTCTCACAGCCAGCGAGAGGGGCTGGGATTGGAAACTATGAGTCTCGCTCCAGTGTGGGTTCCGGTAACCATCTGTGCCTCTGCTGGTGCCTGGCTCTCAGGCGGGTTGTGGTGCACTTATCCCCACTGGGCGTGGGCTGAGCCAAGCCCCTGGCAGCACGCGAGTGTTGTGTGTTTCTACCCTGTCACCCGGCCAGCGTGGCCCCTGACTCTGGCTTTGTACCTCCTGCTGGGCTGGAAGATGTACTGCTCTGACGCAGGGGTCTGACGTGGCCCTCAAGTTGCCCAGCTTGAGGCGACTTGTCTGTTCGCTGGGTGTGTCCTACACACCACTGTTTGCTCCTTAGCTGAAGAGTGACCGTCTGGCGTGTGACCTTATGACACCCAGGGAAGCAGAGGTTTTGCTGGGCTGCTGAAGTGTGCACTGTGCTTGGTCCTTGTATTAGTTTCCTCTGGCTGCTCTAACAAAGTACCACAAACTGGGTGGCTTAAAACAACCGAAATATATCCTCTCTCAGTTCTGGGGGCCAGAAGCCCGAAACCGAGTGTTGGCCGGGCCACACCCCTCCCGTGGTACTAGGGAAGGATCCTTCCTTGCTTCTTTCGGCTTCTGGTAGCCTCAGCCTTCCTTGGCTTGTGGTTTCTCACTCCAGTCTCTGCCTCCATCTTTGCACGGCTTTCTCTGTGTCTGTTTCAGATCTCCTTCTGCCTTTGTCTTACAAGGACACTTGTCACTGGATTTAGAACTTACCGGCATAATGCAGGATGACCTCATCTCTGGATCCTTAACTTAAATTACGTCTGCAAAGACCTTTTTTCCAAATAACGTTCGCAGAGTCCAGGAATTTGATGTGAAACATGTCCTTGGGGCCACCTTGTAGCCCACTAGAGTCCCCTTTCCTTTCTCATGCTTCCTTTTACGGTTTGCAATACATTTTCTCCACCCTGAGTGTGTAATCTGAATCTGACAGCAATGTGGGAAAGATCAGAGCCAGCATCTGTATTTTCCTGGAAGAGGGGTGTCGAGTATAGAGTAAGAACTTTGCCTGACTGGTCCCCAAATTACCTGGGGTATATGTTGGTACCCCTGAGTTGCTGCAGCTGTGTTTCAATCTGTAACCCCAGCACAATTCCTCGGACTATTTTTTTCCTGATGTTTCTTGGGGAAAAGCTGGTCTCTTTCTTGCTTCAGTGACCGTGGACTGTCTTGACACAGCTCAGGGAGACACTGGGCCCCCTTTTCTCCCTCTCGCTCCTGATCTGGTTGTTGTCAATCACATCAGGCCCTTTCGTGAAAACTGTAGCATCCGCTGTCGCACAAAAGGAGAAGCAGAGCAAGCTCATAACTTGTTTGTTTGTCCCAAATCACATTCAAAAAGGAACCAGGGAGAGGGAAGGCTGAGGCCAACCTTCTGCAAGGGTCTGGTTGGCCCTCCTGGAAATCAAGATTGCCCTTCATTCCGACAACTTCCTGTTGCATGAGTTGGTTTTGTTTTGCAAACGTGAAAAACTTCTTTTCACCTCTCCCCATTAAAAAGAAAATAATAGTAATTGCTAAGAGTCGCCTCGATGTTTACTGTTGACAGTGGGCTTTCCAGAGTGGCCAACCTCTGATAAATCCTACAATTGGATGAAGGTGGGTAATGTCATCCCCACTCTTTTTTTTAAAAGGGAGCTGAGGCTCAGAGAGGTGACGCACTTGCCCAATTAAGGGGCAGTGACGGAGCCGAGAGGACCGACTTCAGATCAAAACTCCTGAAGTCTGAGCCCAGCAGGGCGAGCTTGCCCCCCAGCTTTGCGTTCCCTCTGCTCCCAGCTGATATCCAGACGTCAGTGTGCATCTGGGTGCGGCTTCCGCTTTCCTGAAGGTTCCCTCAGGCTCCATAGCAGGCTCATGGAATAGGCGTCACTGCCTTCACTACGTAGCTGAATTACCTGAAGCATGGTGAGGGTAGTGACCGGCCCGCGGCCGCAGTTCCCATGAACGACATTCTCCCCTCTGTCAATGCAGGAGGAAATGCAGAATAACGTGGAGGTGGTCCACACCTGCCGCCAGCACATCGTGAACGACATGAACCCCGGCAACCTGCACCTGTTCATCAACGTCTACAACAGGTACCAGGATGCCGCTGGGCCACACGATGGCCGCTTGTCAGGCTCCTTTTGTAGGTCCGGAACGAACATGGGGCAAGAGAGGAGGGATTATAAAATTAATATAAGATGCAGCCCCCGAGCAAATAGATGATCAGAACAAGGGTGCCCAGTTGGGGCCCCTGGGAAGTCAGGTGCCTCCGGGAGTTTTGAGTGCTTTGCAAGGAGCTGAACTTCTACTCCAGACCACCAGGGGCGCACGCACGAGTGGGAACAGTCACATCGCAAAGGGTTTGCGTCCACGCCTGTGCCAACGCTGACCCTAAGGAAGGTCCGGATGTGGGGAGAGCTGAGAGGGAGGGCAGCAAAGCACTGGGGCAGGACGGGAAGAATCCAGGGAGGCTGCTGGGAGGCGAAGGAGTCACTCCAAGGATAAGGACACATGAGCATGGCCTTTGGCGAGGGCGCAGCCCTCTTAAGGATACCTGAGTGCTGGTCTGGGGCTCAGCTAGGGGAGGCCACTGGGAGCAGCCAGGGGTTCTGGAACCTCCAGGGAACTCAGCCTGAGGCTCCCACAGAGGGGGCAGGAATAAGCTTCCGGGGCTCTGTGTCTCTCACATGTTAATAACTTGACTTCATGAAGGGCATTCGTGTCCCTTTCCTCTTACCCTCCACCCAGCCTCTCAGTGCAGGGGTGACTGGTAATGGCCCCAGCGTGTAACCAAAGACACGGAGGCTGAGTGCTCATTTATTCAGCAAGCGCTAAGTGAGGACTGGAGTGGGCAGGCTTTCGGCTGGGCAGTGGGCACCCAGAGGAGATGAGCAACAACCCCTCGCTGCCCCACATGCTGCAGGGACGAACTGGTGCCTCTGAAAAACCCTATGATGAGGGTGCTCTCACCACCATTTCCTGCT